GGCCTCCCAAAGTGCTGGGATTACAGGCTTGAGCCACCGCGCCCGGCCTCCATTTGCTATTTATATTTGTATGTGGCATGTGAGAATTCCATCCAAGACCACAAGTAGGCTACACAGAGAATGAGGGAGATGGCAGGTAAGGGATATGACCTACATCACTGGAAGAAGAAATGAAGCTAGAGACAGGAATGGGAAAAAAACCAAAACCCTTGAATTCTAAGACTTTGGGAAACCAGGAGATTAAGACGAAGAGTTTACCCCTCCTTTTCCATGACCCAGTGGAACAAAATAAAATCTTTCCTCATGTGACACACACAGCCAACAAAAGTCACTGCTGGGAAGGAAGATGACCAAAACCATCTTCATTTTGGGGTATTCAGAATTAATGACTGCCCATAGGATCTGGGAGAGGCAGGGAGAAAGCTGCACCCACCCTGGGCCCTGATCAGCCAGCCTGGGAGGCTTTGACCAGGAGGTGCGGCTGTGTGACTTCATCGTGTAGCTGCTTTCCTTGCTCAAGGATGTTAAGCCAGGGATGAATGCTGTCTGGGATGTGGGGTGTGTGGGGATAGCAAGCGGCTGGCTTCTGGGCCTGCCTGAGGGAAGGCCTGCTCTCAGCAGGTTTGCTCCTGGGGGAATGACTCAGTGACCCACATGACAGGTTCATTACCACTTCTCTGGGCCTCCAGTGCAGAGCCATGTGAGGATCTGTGAGACACCCAGGGTGGCAGGAAAGGTGGGCACAGCCACACAGCTGAGTACACATGCAGCATGAAGCTGCAGCTGTCTGCTCAGCCCTGGGCCAAGTCTCCCGGCCTCAGCCATCCTCATGCACCCACCCACCCACGCTGCCCCGCTAGCAGCTACCACATAAGGACAGTTTGGGATGTATTTGGGGATGTGGGCTCCACTCCATCAGCAGCCACAATGCCTGGATACATACTCTGTGCAGACTCTTATCCTTCCTGTGCTCCCTCCCCACAACAAAGCCTCAGGAGCCGCCTTCACATGGGAAACCCTCTGAAGGCCATGGCCATGACTAGAACCCAGCCCAGAGGTGAGTGGGTCACTCGCTGGACCTGCCTTCAGGGAGCACCATAACCAGCAGTTCTTCAGGAGTGAACAAATTAACTTTTGGGAATTTTGGTTTCCATATTTATAAAAACAAAAAGTATCACCTGTTGAGTCAAACCCTCCAGGTTACAGCTGAGGTAAGAAAAGCATGCTTTTTGCCCTAAGACACTGGTAGGCCCGCAGGGCTGGTTTTGTATTTTGCAATTAGGCCAAGCACTGTTCCCCAAATTAGTATCATTTTATCCTTCATGTTGTGGGGATTATTGGTAAGAAGTAATTGCAGGGGCCATAAGCTGGACCAGATGCATGTGGAAGAGAAATAAAAAGGAAAGAAGGCAGGCCTGGGAGGGAGAGTGGAGGAAAGTAGAGAGAAGGGTGCGGGGGTGGGGGAGGGGACCTGCGGGAGCATGTGTTTCAGCCGAGCCCTGGGACCCCAGGCGGCCACCTCAGGCTGCCACCTCAGGCTGCCCTGGGGGAGTCCCTCTGTTACCCAAGCCAGGCAGATGCCACAACTCTGCCCAGAATAAGAGTCAAATCAAGGGACTGTACCACCATCTGGCATAAGAATGATAGAATCCCTTTAGGGAGCAAACAGAAAATAACTACAAAACAAAAGAACCCAAAGGTCACCAAGTTGGAGGCAAGGCAGCTGCAAACTTCCCAAACCACAAAACAAGACCCTTTAAATATTCAGAGTGACCACTGACAGCTTCATACCTTTGCCAACATTCCGTGGAGGAAGAGGGGGGGCGCTGGTGGTGCTGGGGGCTGCAGGCTGGGCGGGAGGCGGGCTGCCGCTCAGGATGGCTCCATAGGTCTCATTCTGCAAAATGCTGGGCATGAAAGCCCTCTGCTTGTCCTTGGCCAAGTTTGCAGCATCTCTTGCCAAAGACACAGCGTTAGACTGAAGCTGGTTGGCTCCCAGCTGGTAGAAGCTGATGGGCCGGTCTTCCCGCCGGTTGGGACTAGGCTGCAGGAGAATATCGGGACAGAGGCGTGTGAGATGCACTGCTCCTGGTGATAACATTCAATGCGGGGTGGAAAACCTCACTGACACCAACTTTGCTGGGCTTGGTACCATCTGAGCTCTCAACTGTGGCCTGAGAGCTGCAAGTTGTATGAGAGCTGCAAGAGTGAAAATTCACTCTTCTTTGTGTCTCGTGAATGAAACACACACTGATATGGTTTGGCTTTGTGTCCCCACCCAAATCTCATCTGGAATTATAATCTTCACATGTCAAGGGGAGGAGGTGACTGGATCACGGCAGCAGTTTCCCCCTGCTGTTCTTGTGATAGTGAGTTCTCACGACACCTGATGGTTTTATAAGGCAGTTTTCCCTGCTCTTGCTCACTTGCTCTCTCTCCTGCCCTTCTGTGAAGAGGGTCCGGCTTCCCCTTCCACCATGATTGTAGGTTTCCTGAGGCCTCCCAGCCATACGGAACTGTGAATAAATTAAACCTCTTTCCTTTATAAATTACCCATTTTCAGGTATTTCTTTATAGCAGTGTGAGAACAGGCTAGTACATATACACACAGCAAAAAAGCCATGAATTAAAAGTTAAAATTCTCCATTCTGTGATGTATTTAAAATACAAGCTATTTATCTTATTAGCCAATGTTATCTCAACCTAAGTCAGCATTTTTCCTGAATTTCCCCTTCCTAAACATGCTTTCTTATGTTACTCCACAAGGTAGCCAGCTCTGGCCAGCCTGCTGCAGTCAAACTCCAACAGCTACATGGTTCCTTCCGCAGAGATCAATGTTTTCTTCCCTTATGAATAGGAGCTCCTGAGATTCTTCCAAATCAGGGTTAACAAACAGTGGCCTGTGGGCTGCCACTTGTTTTTTGTCAGTGAAGTTTTATTGGAACATGGCCATGTCCTGTCATTTAGATATTGTCTAAGGCTACTTTTGAGCCATCCTGGCAGAGCTGAGTAATTGTAGCATGGACGGTGATACTTTAGGCCCATAGAGCCTCAAGTATTCACTATCTGGCCCTTTAAGAGTTTGGCTACCCTGCTCCACCTGAAGGTCATGTGCTTTCTTGGTAGTGAATGCATGCAATGACGACTCAGGCAACTTAGATCTAACTTCTATTTCAAATGCCAGCTTCATTAAACTAGATATGATGATGGTGAGCAAATGACTCAACCTTGCTGACCACATTCTTTACCTGTTCAATGGATATAACAAGTGCTTCTCTAGCACAATGCCAGGCGCTTAGCAGGTGCTCAGTATGAACTGTGGCAGCCCCGCCTCTCCCTCACAGGACCACTAACTCATTCTAGGTTCTGGCCAAACCAATGGTTCAAACCCAGTTCAGGCGTGCAGAACTAAGCATCCAGTGTTTCTTCACACAGATTTCTAAATTCCAAAGCCCAGGGCTGAAAGGATAAACCATCCCTGCTGCTGTCTTCTGGGAATCAGGTAAGTGGCGTGGATGAGTCTTAGGATTCCACACCACCCCCTGCTCTTGTGCTTTTCCTTGAACTATGCAACATGCTTTGTCACTGCTCATAAAATAGGAATGTGGCGTGTGACAGCCTGATAAAGAGGCATGCTGGGGCAGATTGCTTCCAGCTTTTTTTTAAGGCAGGTCAGTATGAAATTAGTTGACTCTTCTCACTTTGACACTGTTTTGTAGCTAACTCAGTGAAGTAATTTCCTATTCTGTATTCTAAGAAGCAGTAAGTACAGATGTTAACTCCATAAGCAAAAACAGTCCGATAGGTTTCAGAAATGCCATTTGATATCCTCAGCAAACATCAGAACATTAATGGATTACAGTTTAAAAAAAAGCTAAACCACGAAAATGTGTTTAATGTGGCATCTGGCACTAATTCAACACAGGCTACATTCCAGGCATGCCTCAAAGAACCATGCTGAAGGAGAGATGGAAGCGGGTCGCAGTTAGGAGTCAGGGCTTTGGAGGCACACTGCCTCAGTTTGACTCTCAGCTCTGAGTCCTGGGTGAAGGCAGTAATCTTCCTGGGGGTCAGCCCCATGTGTGAAGTAGTGAGTATGGTGAGAAGGGAGCTGGAGGAGGAGGCAAGAGCCTTTGTGCAGTCCCAAGGCTGCCTCTAAATAGTTGCTTCACTTTGGCCAAGTCAACTTTTCTCTTGAGGCTTCAATATTACCAACTGATAAAGGAAGGGGTTGGACCCAATGAGCTCTAAAGGTCATCTGATGATTTCAGCTGACATTTTTTAAGATCAGCAAGGTGAATGTGATCATGTAGACTGGGGGAAATCTGGCTCTTTATGACGTGATTCCATAGCAAGAGAGCTTCCTCTAAAACCCAGTGGAATCAAAGGCCCCCCTCCCTCCCATCCCACACCTTTCTTTTGTAGCAAAAGGCTGCCTATGAGTACATAATTAGCCATTCCTTTAAATTAGTGGGTATAGGAACTGGGAGACAGGAGATGGTAGTGGGAAGGGTAAAACCAAAAGCCTACTGAGATCAATGAAAGCAAAAAGCAAGCTACATTTTCTTTTCTACAAAATAGCTCTCTGCCTTAATTACAGATTAGGACCCACACCACTCTGGATGAAGCTGATCAAAACTCTTAATGGTTGGCAATCTGGCACAGACCTGCAATTTCTCATCCATGTCGTCATCACTTTCATCCAGGTCTTCATGGAGTAGTCGCCATTCATATTCAACATGAACGTGAGAATTAAACCTTCCAGATAAGGCTTGGGTCAGCTGAGAGAACAGAGGGATGGTCAGTGCCGCTGTTCATATACTCGGCCATGCACCTGGACCCACTGAGGTATGCAAACAGGAGCCTGCCTTCTAGTCCAAGGCAAACTCACAGAAATCTCTGGGTCTCAGGTGAACCTCCTCCCTGCCCCCACCACTGCCTGATTCACAGGGTAACCTTGAAACTCAAAACCTGGTAACCCCAGACAGGGCTTTGTAAGCTGTATTGGTTTTCTTTTTCTTTTTTTTTTTGGGACGGAGTTTCGCTCTTGTTACCCAGGCTGGAGTGCAATGGCGCGATCTCGGCTCACTGCAGCCTCCGCCTCCTGGGTTCAGGCAATTCTCCTGCCTCAGCCTCCTGAGTAGCTGGGATTATAGGCACGCGCCACCATGCCCAGCTAATTTTTTGTATTTTTAGTAGAGACGGGGTTTCACCATGTTGACCAGGATGGTCTCGATCTCTTGACCTCGTGATCCACCCGCCTCGGCCTCCCAAAGTGCTGGGATTACAGGCTTGAGCCACCGCGCCCGGCCGGCTGTATTGGTTTTCATCAATGGTTCCCGGCTCGTAACTCTCATAGCCCTTGTTACAGTCTTCGGTTATAACGGCGGGTGTTAGGCCGCAGGAGACAGAATCTCTCTGAACTTCTCGGCAGGACTCTAATCTTCCCCCGTTTTCGGACTGTGGGTCTTAAAATCCTCCCCAGAGAGGGTGTCGCCCTACATCCTGGGGGAAGAGATGTTGACATCATGAAGCTTCCATAGAAACCCAAGAGGACTGGGCTCTCAAGCTTCAAGGTGGCGAACCACACAGAGGTTCCTGGAGGGTGGCGCCCAGGGAGGGCATGGAAGTTCTGCGTCCCTTCCCCCACGCCTCGCCCTATGCGCCTCTCCATCTGTATCCTTTGCAATATCCCTCATAATAAACCAGTAAACACAAAGGTCTCCCCGTGTTCTGGGAGCCACTCCAGGAAATTATTTAAATCCAAAGAGGGGGCTGTGGGAACCCCAACTTGAAGCCAGTTGGTCAGAAGTTCTGGAGGCTGACTTGTGACTGGAGTCTGGGGTGGGAGACAGTCTTGGGGACTGAGATCAGTCTGTGGGATCTGACGCTACCTCCAGGTAGATAGTGTCTAACTGAACTGGAGAACAGCCAGCTGATGTCTGCTGCTTGTGAAACTGACTTTGCAAGGACATGATAGTGAGAAAAGTCTAGGGTGGCTGACTCCCATCTTGCTTCTAGCCCCACAGGCTAGCTGTCCTTGCTCATTCCTGGGCACAGACCACGCTAATCAAGGGAGGAATTTAGTTTATGGTTTAAGTTTGAAACAAGGATGATAATAGTCCCTCCCTAAAATTGACTTCCTCCTTCTTAGGGAACTTGAAACTGCATTTGTAAGACTAATAAAAGGCCACAAGATTAGGATTATGGGAGGGGTCTGAATTCTGCTAAAATGTAGGTGCAGCTTGCCCTTCTATTAATGTAATTGTTTACCATTCAGTGCAGTGGATGGTAACCCTACCTCCCAACTGTAATCCCAACATTTTGGGAGGCCGAGGCAGGAGGACTGCTTGAGCAAGAAGTTTTGAGACCAGCCTAGGCAACATAGCGAGACCCCATCACTACAAAAAATTGAAAAACAGCCAGGCATGGTGGCATGCATCTGTGGTCTCAGCTACTTGGGGGGCTGAGGTGAGAGGATCGCTTGAGCTCAGGAGTCTGAGGCTACAGTGAGCTATGAGCACGCCATTGCAGTCCAACATGGGCAACAGAAAGAGACTCTGTCTCTTAAAAAAAATTGTTTACTGCACCAGAAGCCAAGATATTTGTGACTTCCCCAGTTGCTCCTAAAGATAACATATCCTAAGATTGATTTTTTGAGATATTTTTCAGCCTTTTGCATCCTGGTGACCAACTGACTCCACTGAACCTGACTCATGGCTCAACTAGTCTCGTGGCCCCCACTGAGAGGATGCAATGGCTGCTTCTCACACGCTTATGATTTCACCCTCGACCAATGAGCAGCACCCGTTTCCTAGCCCCCTTACCCATCCAACTATCCTTGAAAACCCTAACCTCTGAGCCTTTGTGGGAACACAGCTGAGTAATAATTCCTGTCCACTGCTGGACAACTTGCCATAATTAAACTCTTTCTCTACTCAATAACACTGTCTCATGAATTGGGTTTATCTATGCAGCAGGCAAGAAGAACCTGTCAGGTGACTACACTTGGTGTGCGGCGTGCTGTGGGGGAACCGCATACCTTTGGTCACAGCAGTCTGCTTCTGTACTGCTTGCTGTGTCAACAGCGTCAGTGTAGAGCAAAAACACAGCTAGAGAGTTTTCCCCAAAACAATGGGCAATGGATATTTGAGAGCTAAAGGATACTGATCAGCCTGCAAGTATCCACACTCCATACGGGAGCAAGCTCAACCCCAGGAGAATAAATGTGCTCATTCACTGTGAACTCAGCCTTTTCAACCAGGATGAGTGAATTAAATGCTGTAGAAAATTATCTGAGTGGCCATTTTCTCAATTCTCTCAAGGAAGGTAGATAGCTAGTTCCATTCTAGATGTGCAGAACAGAAGGTAATTCGTTATACACTATGGGTGTATTAGGACCTCAGGGCTTAATTTCCCCCATAGCCAGATAGTAGCTACGTGACCCTGGGCAAGTCACTTAGGTTTTCTGTGCCTGTTTTCTCATCTGTAAAATGAGGATAACAGCAGAAACTATGTGGTAAGGTAGTTATGAAGATTAAATGAGCTAGGTCAGGTGTGGTGGCTCACACCTGTAATCCCAGCACTTTGGGAGGCCAAGGCTGGTGAATTGCTTGAGGTCAGGAGTTCAAGACCAGCCTGAACAACATGGTGAAACTCTGTCTCTACTAAAAATGTAAAAATTAGCCGGGCGTGGTGGCAGGTGCCTGTAATCCCAGTCATTTGGGAGGCTGAGGCAGAAGAATTGCTTGAACCCAGGAGGCAAAGGTTGCAGTGGGCTGAGATCATGCCACTGCACTCCAGCCTGGGCAACAAAGTGAGACTCCATCTCAAAAAAAAAAAAAAAAAAAAAAAAAAAATAGATTAAATGAGCTAGTGGATGTGCAGTGCTTAGAAACAGTACCTGTTACTTTATACCTGTAGAGCATTTACTATTAATAGTTCTTTTGTCTTCCCCTAGACTGTGGCGCACTGGCATAATCATGGCTCACTGCAGCCTTGAACTCCTTAGCTCAAAGTGATTCTCCAACCTCAGCTTCCCAAGTAGCTGGGACTGCAGATGTGTGCCACCGCATCCAGCTAATTTGAAACTTTTTTGTGGAGATGGCGTGTTGCTGTTGCTCAGGCTGGAGTGCAATGGTGCCATTTGGCTCACTGTAGCTTTGAACTCCTGGACTCAAAGCAATCCCCCTGCCTTGGCCTCCCAGGTAACTGGGACTACATCCAGGCATGCTCCACCATGCCTTGCTAATTTTCTAATCATTTGCAGAGACAAGGTCTCTTGAATTGCCAGGTGTCTTGAATTCCTAGCCTCAAGTCATCATCCCCGCATCAGCCTCCCAAAGTTTTGGGATTACAGGCGTGAGTCACTGTGCCGGGCCTTAATAGTTCTATTTATTGAGTGCTTACTGTGTGTCAATTGCTTTACAGCATTCGACAATAATTCTCACAACAACCTTATATACTGGTATAACTGACTGCACTTTAGAAATAAGGAAAGAGCCTGAGAAAATCTCCTTCCCAAGTCACAGTAGGGGAGGCCATGGCAAGGCCGGGGCTGCCCGGCCCGGTGGGCTCTTTCCACTGTCTACACTGTCTTTTGTTCCAGAACAGGAAAAGATGGTGTTGAGCAACCCACATGACCTGGGGCTGAGGACCAAAGAAGGGAGATTGGCCTTGATGTCCTGCCAAGTAGCGAGCAAGGGAGGCCAGAGAACAGGCCCCTTTGGCCTGTTCCAGTTGCCCTACCACACCATGATGTTATCAACAGTCAACCAGCAAACACTGACTCACACCCCGTCTCACTACAAGGGGATGGCTCCCCCAGGCTCCCCTATAGACTCCCTAGCATGCTTTCTCCAAGGCAGGCTGATTCTGGGCTCATCCTATCAGAGACACTGAGCTCTGCTCAGGACACTGGTTCACAGCAAACCCTGCCCAAGGAGGGCGGGCCTGGCTGTCCCAGATGGGTACCCCACCCTGTCCTCGTGGCAGGACACTCACCAGCTCCTCACAGTGCTCGTGCTTGAGGCGCTTGGCAATGTCCAGCGGAGTCTCTCCTGACTCATTGGCTAAAAGTTAAGGGTAAGCAAAGGAGGCGTTAAGGCAAAGGCCTGACATCCAGTACAATTTTTAAAAAGAAACAGTAAGGCAGCACCAAATTAAACTGAATCTGGTTAATGAAATCCACGGTGAGTTTGACCTAGTCGAGGCTACGTGTGTCTTGTAATTATATAGAACTACAGCTGAATATAGGAAGTACAACTTTAAAAGACAAGGTTTGAGTTAATCAAGAAACTAAAACTGGCCTGGCACAGTGGCTCATGCCTGTAATCCCAGCACTTTGGGAGGCTGAGGCAGGTGGATCATTTGAGGTCAGGCATTCGAGACCAGCCTGGCCAACATGGCGAAACCTCGTCTCAACTAAAAATATAAAATTAGCTGGGCGTGGTGGCATGCTCCTGTGGTCCCAGTTACTTGGGAGGCTGAGGCAGGAGAACGGCTTGAACCTGGGATGCACAGGTTGCAGTGAGCCAAAATTGCGCCACTGCACTCCAGCCTGGGTGACAGAGCAAGATTCCATCTAAAACAAACAAACAAAAAAATGAACAAAAACCCCTAAAACTGTTTAAGTAGCCATCTAATTAAAATTCCAATTCAAACTGTAAGTCATTGAATAAAGTGATTCATCATAAATCTCTAACAACACTGCATTGGAATGTAATAAACTTTTATGCTTTCTCTCAAGTAGTTTATAAGCTTGAAAGTGTATACTTTCTTCTAAATAAGCCTCAAGTCAGTGAGGTCTGATTATTAGTTTTTTAATGATAAGCATGGCTCTCAGGCAGATGTGTGTCTTTTTTCTATTCTTTTCTTTTTATTTAACAGTCCTTCAAAAATACTTCCTCCTGAGGGGCCAACAGCTGGATATCCTCAGGGCACAACTGTGCCTTTGGCTGGGGTCCTTGAAAGAGGGAGGGACTGGGGCCAAGTAAGAACCAGGGCCCTTCATGGAGGACACAGGGGTGCGAATGAAAGGAGGGTGCGGTAAACAGCATCTCCCACATAATCCATCTAAACCCAGAGCCAAGAAAGGGGTCAAGTGTGGCCTCAGGTGGGGGGTGAGAAGGCTCAGCGTGTGTGAACAGGTCAAAATTCCCCAACCTTGTCCCAATTCACCTGGCATCTGTGAGAGCTACAGGGCCCACCCTTTGCCTATCTTATCATCTGTGAAATGCCTATAAATGCACCTGAAGTCTAAGTAACAGATGGTGAGCGCAGCCTCTGGAACAGGCAGGGAGAAGCCCTTTCTTGTTAGTGGTAGGTTCTCCTCCTTGGCACTGACAGGAGCCCACAGGGCCAGCCCTGTTTCCAATAGCAGTGTGTGGATGGCAGACAGGCGGTGGAGGCCAGTGTGCAGCCGAGCCCGGCCCTGGGACTCGGGCCCACTCACCTATCTCGATGGACGCCTTCCCCCGTAGGAGCAGCTTGAGGCACTCAGCGTTGTCAGTCAGGCAGCAGTAGTGCAGGGCCGTGCTGCCTTTCCCTGTCTGTTTATCCAGGTTCCCACTGCCCGAGCACAGGAACAGAGAGAGAGCACAGTATGTCACAGGCCACAGGACCAGGAACTGCCCAGCAGGGAGCCTGGGGCACATGCACAGGAGAGGCAGACAGTCCCCAAGTGAACAGTTTCTCTAAATCATCCCCAAGGTGGTGGGACCTGGCACCTTCCCTGCCTATGTGGCCAGGGAAGCCTTAGCAGAAGGCAATCAGGGAAATAAGATTATGGTAGAAGAGGTCAAAAGGGGAGAGGGCCATCCCTGCTGCTGAGCATGTGCGGCCAAGGCAGGGGCAGTGCAACACCGGGTGAACCAGAGCCCCAGCATCCTTCTCACAGCACCCCTGGCTGCGCCTAAGGGCTACTGTGTCCTGCTAGGCTGACTAGCTGTGCTGGCTGCAGGGCCTCTGGGTGCCCGTGTGACTTACTCATCCTGTCCCACGGAAGGATGGGGGCTGAGCTTTTCTCTATCATTATTTGATATTCCTTCCAGGAAAGGAAAAAGTCACTTTTCCGAAACCCAGAGTCCCCAGGCTCCTCACCTGGTTCACTCTGGGAATACCCTCTGAAAGCAGGTTAAAGGGGAATCTTGAGATTTTCAAAATTTCTTTCAACGTATCACAAGACCAGGTTATCCAAAACAGGTGCACAGGCCTGGCAGACATGGGACAGGCCTTCAACCCTAGCAAGCATGGTCAACGTCATATACTGACGAGGGACAGTGAGCTTTGTGCCCATGCACAAAGTGGGGACAGAAAGGCAACTTCAGGAGATGGCACCTGCTGCTTCCGTAAGAAGGAAAGCAGTTAAGTTTTCAATTTAAAAAAAGGAGCTTCTTTTTCACCAAACTGGGGACAGTGTAGGAGCTTCATTTTCAGAATTCTCCCCTACTTTTGTCCTCCTTCCACTCTGAAAAAAAAAAAAAAAAAAAAAAAACTTGGACTTTCCTTCTCCTGCCCCCCTGAAAATGTGTGTGGAGGGAGAGGCATCATGCGGCTATCAACTAAATGTTTATGGACCTCCTGCTACATTCCAGGAGCCACGCTGGCAGAGGATGGGAGCATCAGTGGCTTCCACCAAGAGTCCAATGAACTCAGCCTCCTCAGGAAGAAGCTGTAGGTTTTGGGGCTGACCACCCCACAACCCCCTACTTTCTGGCCATTTCTTCACTCCTCTGCTCAGAAATGGGAGGGAAAAGCAGAGGACACGAAATGCAAACTATTCCATGGCTTTTGCATTTTGGAATTTTCTATTTCATTTGAAGCAATTTCTGTGGCTTTTAACAGCACCTCCTCCTCCAGTACACACATGGCCCAAACCATGATCAGAGAGTCAAAATAAACATTGAGGGGTCCTGAGGTCCAGCCTTCAGCTGCCAGGCAGGCAACACATATGACTGAAGCAATATGTACTAAACCACAGGGACTCCCAGACCTGCGGTAAACTGCCTGTGCACATCTCTAAAGGCCATTTCTAGTCAAAGCATAAAAACAACTTCTCGCCAGGCGCGGTGGCTCAAGCCTGTAATCCCAGCACTTTGGGAGGCCGAGGCGAGTGGATCACGAGGTCAAGAGATCGAGACCATCCTGGTCAACATGGTGAAACCCCGTCTCTACTAAAAATACAAAACATTAGCCGGGCATGGTGGCGCGTGCCTGTAATCCCAGCTACTCAGGAAGCTGAGGCAGGAGAATCACCTGAACCCAGGAGGCGGAGGTTGCGGTGAGCCGAGATCGCGCCATTGCGCTCCAGCCTGGGTAACAAGAGCGAAACTCCGTCCCCAACAAAAAAAAACAAAAAAAACAAAAACAACTTCTCAACCCAAACAAAACACCCATAATCCAGTGCTACGGTTTCTAATCCAGCTCAGACCATGGCTAATGTGTGGATCCCTCCTTGCCTGCTACCTTCCTACCACTTAGGACACTCTGCTTGGGCAGTGTGATGACCTGGCTCACAGGATGAGGCGAGGACTGCCTCTGTGCACAGAGGGTGGTCATGGGGTCCTCTGACTTCAGCAGCCGTATCTACTTGGTGTCTCCCTGAGTATCAGACACTAGAAGTTGGACCCTGCAATTACCACAAAGGATTTCCAATGTTTTAAAGGATTGCCACGGAGCACCTCACACCTGGCAGTCCTTTTTCTGCCTATAATTCATGCTTAGACCCAAGAAGATTCTCTTGACAACACATCAGAAGTGGTGAAGCAGTGTTTGATTCCTTTCCCAAAAATACCAAGGAGAAAAATGAGCGCCTCCCTTAATTTCAGAACACCTACCTGTTCTGAACTAAAAAGTCTACAATGTGAAGAGAGGTTCGATCCACAGATCTGACTGCAAGGTGGAGGGCTGTTTCATCCGGCTCCTGAAAACCAAACAAAGACATTCTAGAATTCTAATGGGAGCATTCAATTCTGTGTCCAACACCGGTGAAATCGTGTATAACTCTTCCAAAAGCCTTTTATCCTTCCCTTCCAGAAACTTATCTCTAAGATATACAGAATCTCTTTAATCTCTACACAAGCTCTTTGCTCTTGGGAACGTGCAATTTGGAGATTGGTCCTGTTTTTCCTGACTCCATGGGAAATAAATGAGAAGTTCAGGGGTTTCATTTCCAAGTCCTCTTAATCAGCCTAGCCCCAACCCTGCATCAGCGTCATGAGGCAGATCCCTGCCTGCAAGCAAGAATCTTGTTCCAAGGATCCAGAAAGTTCCCCCAGTCTGCCTACAATCCAATCCCTTTACCTGCTCCCTGAGAGTAGATAGAAACATGTGTTTCTTAAGCAGGCTTAAAGTTTTGCATTTACACGTAAAGACAAGGCTATGAATGCTAATAACTGTACTGTCTCCAACTCATACTGGGGATTCCCAACTCCACTGCCTCTTCGAAAAGTATGCTTAGCAGGTGGGGGAGAAGAAATGCACAAGGACTGTTTCAGCAGGTGGGTGGGCGAGAGAACCAGAGGGAAAGGAGTGGTCTAGAGGACAGGAGGTGAGGGCAAGAGGGGGTGCCTCCCAGACCGCCTGCCCCACCTGCTTGGCCCTCTGGCTGCAGCACAGCTCAGTGCTGGGCACCCTCCACCCCGGATGGGTGGGCAGGAGTTCTTTCTGGGGTTGGGGAGAGAGCAGGACCAGCCCAGAGCCTGCATGAATGTGGCTGTCACCAGGAGAAAGATGCTGTAGCCATGAAGCATCCTTGCTGATAAGCAGCCAGCCTGGTCCTGAGATCAGGAGGTTCCAGAGGACCAAGTACACGTCTACAGGGCATTTATGAACCAGAATCTGGACACATGCCATCCACTTGGGTGCTGGTATGTTACTGTAAACCTGTTCTGGCTGGATGCCCACCCTCTCAAGAGAGCTCCCCCAGGAAAGGATGTGTCATGCTCCTTACTCTATTCCCTTTGAGGGGGAGCGCAGAGGGGTGTGGGTTCCAGGGAACCACCTCTCTCGGAGAGCTTCTCTTGTTAAAGTATGAAGCTCAGGTTGAGCCTGCTCAGAGAGGAGGGGTCCCTCTCAGGCTGCCTGGCTTCTGAGACGTCTTCTCCTCCACCTGGGGATGGGCTTTCTTTCCAGAGCTGGCATTACATTTTTGGTGTAAGAATAAACCACTAGGTGGGTACAAAGTTTTTGACAAGCAGAGTGAGTCCTGGAGATCTACTGTGCAGGCTGGTGACTCCAGGTAAGAACTACAAAGTGTCTACTTCCAAAACTGAGTTGATTTTAAATGTGCTCACCATTAAAAATGGATGGGTATGTGAGGTAATGGATATGTTAGCTAACTTGATTTAATCATTCCACGACGTAAACACAGATCAAAACATCACACCGTACCACATAAATATAGACTGAATTATTTGTTTACTAAAAAGAAAAAGAAACCCCTAGTTTATTCTACCCTAGTACCCCATCTGTGCTGTCTTCCTCTGGAGAATTACCCAGCTTTGGTCAGTACTGCTGATTCCACTCTCCTGCCATGGTGCCCCAGTTTTGTTTCTTTTTTTTTTTTTAAGACAAGGTCTCGCCCTGTCGTCCAGGTTGGAATCCAGTGGCACAATCATGGCTCACGGGAGCTTCAAATTTCTGGGCTCAAGCGATCCTCTCACGTAGCCTCCTAAGTAGCTGAGACTACAAATGTACACCACCACAGCTGGCTAATTTTACTTTTATTTTTTGTAGAGATGGGGCCTTGCTATGCTGCCCAGCTGGTCTCAAACTCCTGAGCTTAAAGGATCCTCCCGCCTTGGCTTCCTACAGTGCTGGATCCCAGGCATAAGCCGCTGTGCCTGGCCTTTTTTTTCCCCCTAAAGTAGTAACCCACACTCTTACATGTCCATTGGCCAGTGGGATTTTTTCAGTAAGGTCCACACCATCAGCATAAGCTTGGAGCAATCCAAAAATATCTCTCGTTTTGACGGCCTCACAAAGGCTGTGAAGCTTCGCCGAGTTATCCACGTGCTTCTTCCTTGCGTATCTCCTCTCGATGTACTTGGCTGTGATGTAATCCTTTCTTGCATTCCTGAAACCAAACATAATTGCCTTGTAAATCATGAAGGGCCCCTACACGCTTTCTAGCATTTGTTTGTCTAAGGCCACGTTAATGGTTCCTGCCTCACCTTCCTGGCAAGCAGCACTGGCCCTGAAACACAAAACAGGAGTGGCCACCACGTGGTCCTGCAGTGGCATTGGTCTTCATGGCGACCCCAGGGGAGCTGGCCAGCCTGACAACTACCCCATGTTCTCTCGGCCCACCCGCCTCTCCACCTTGTCTCCCGCCCCTCTCTCCTAAGTGCTCTGACCTCACCACGCTGTCACCCTCACCACCTCCACGCCCTTCTTGCCCAGGTCCCTCCACTCAGCATGCTGTGTGCCTCCTCCTCCAGGAAGGCTGGCCGCCCTGCCCCTGCCCTCCAGGCAGCCCCGGCCCACCTCTGTTCCAACATTCTCTCCCTGAAGGCCTGCCTGCTTGACTGTCTGACAGGCCCATGAGTTCCTCAGGGCATGGACTATGATGTCTCTTTTGTAGGAACATACTGTCTGGTGTGAAAGGCACTATCAGATAAACCAAATGAAATGTCGGTCCTCTTTATGTTCTACTTTCTGGCCTTTATGTGGCAACATACTCAGATTCCACCCCATCCAAAGAACCTAGAGAAGCAGGAACAAAAGGGGGTTGAGGAAGCCTGAGTTCAAATTCCACTCCCACCACACGCTGCTGCTTTGAGCTTCAACAAGTATTTCAACTCTCTAGGCTTGTAAGTTTGACCTGTGAAAGTGCACACAATACATCCTCACAGCAGCATCATGAGACATACATGAGTCAGCTACACACAGTGGGTCCTGGGCTTGGGAAAGACCTGATGAACTTAGAGGGAGAGCAAGAGAAACAGCAGCTCACCATAGAGTGCAAGCATTTTACAATCCCAGTTCTGAAGTCTGAGGGTCACTGCCCAGGGACCCCTTGAATCTTCAGAGTCAGACAAGAATCAGACAAGGGCAGATCAGTTACATCCCTTTACGACACGGCACTGCCTACAATCTGCATGCGGCTGCTCCCCTTCAAGCTGGAGCCCCACACAGTTCCCTTATGACCTCTCTCTCACTCAGCTGACTATGGCAAGGGGCCATGGCTGCTGGAGCAGCTGTTCATTTTTTTTTTACCTGCCCTAAGTCCCCGTGGAACAACTGGCCCCCCCAGAAGGGGTGCCAAGCCCCCCGGGCATGCAACTCGAGGCAGGGAGTGGACTGTGCCTACCCTGGGGTCCCTTGAAGATGGGCCAGCCTAAGATGAGAAGCTGTTACCCCCCCAGTACCAAGACAGAACCAAGCAGGCAGAGGTCTCTTGCCAGCATTTGCCAGGCCTCATATCTGCTTGCCCTTGGGTGCACGTGGCTCCTGGACAGGCTGCAGCATGAGGCTGGCGGGTGCAGCTGGAGAGGAAATCATACCCCAGGGTGCCTGTTCCACCTGAGCTGGCCAGGAAGGACTTCCAGGGGCACCTGGTGAACTTGTGCTCCGGCGCCTTCAACACACTGCCTCCCTCCCACTCCGGCTCCACTTCTGTCCACTCTATGGAGTTCTAGGTTAAGGCAGGTGCCTCGACTTCCCCTGGCACGTGCTCCCATCCACACAGCACTAACCCATGCACTGAGCTCACTGTGGTGCTGGGTGACTTCTGTGTGACACATGTGGTCTCAGTGGATTGCCTCAACAGTGCCATGAGTTTCCATCTCCATCTGCAGGTATGATAGGCCCTTGAAAAATGTCATTTCGTTATAATGTTAAGAAAAAAAATCAATTCCCAGGCAGACTCACTGTCCGTGCAGAGCCCATGCGGGTTTTCTCCGGGCCCTCAGGTTTCCCCCTACATCCCAAAGCTGTGCATGCCGGGCTAACTGCTGCGTCTCAATGGTCCCATTGTGAGTGAGTGTGGATGTGGGGGTGAGTGCATCCCACAATGGGACAGGGTCCTGTTAAGGGCTTGTTCCCGCCCTGGACCTCAGCTGCCAGGACACCCTCCCGCCACCTGTGACCCTGAGCTGGAATAAGTGGGTGAATCATTATCTTTTTATGAATCTTTATCTCACTCAGTAGACTGAATCTTTCCTAAATGTATGCATAGCTCATATTTATTTCAATGTTGAATGTTAGAAGTGTTCTGAGTCTTTACTCAGAAGTCTGGTGATGTTTTCGTAATCAGAAATATGTGGTAGGAACTGAACTCTGGTTTACATCAATTAGCATAGGGTAAAACCGGTTTCCTATAAATCATTTTGCTGCAAGTCACAGGTTTTCAGAAACCTTTCAATGACATTGAGGACTTACTGTACACTGAAGTCCACAGAGCGAAAGTGGATTCCGTTTCCTCAGGCAGCTGGTGGGCCTACGAGGGAAGACCCATTTTATTCATGGAGGTTGTCCTCTCAGGGCCTCCCAGCACAGTGTGACACCCAGGGAACTGTTCCATTCCTGGGCTGATAACTGTCATGGTGGGCAGCCCATTTAATAATGCAAATGCCTCTTGTGACAGGCAGTTAGACTTAACAGTTGTCCAGTTTCATGCACTTTCAATAATCACTGGACAATCAGTACTGCGACCTTCGCGGGAAGCAAGTAGAGAGAAAGTGGATTTCCTTCACTTGTTTTTTAATGTATTATTCATCTGCCCAGGGCTTGGATGCCCCTGAAGGCAGTTCCTACACAAACATGGGCACAGGTCTGTTTAACTCCACACATGCTCCCTGGTTTTGTGAAGGACGTTTGCTTTGCTAATGCGATCCCTAATTCTTTCTTTTCTTAATGACAGGTTTTTGCAGAAAAGCAATGAACTTAACATAATGATACATTTGGTGTTCAGATGAGTGGCTTTCCTTACACTTCTGAAGGACAGGGTGTGTATAAAGTCCCAAATCACAGAGAGAAACAGTTCTGGCTACTGTAAGCACATACAAGCCTGGCTTCCTTGTTCCACCTCCTCTAGTTACCCATTCCTGACACCCCAAGATCCATCTTGGAATTCACAGGCCACTAGAGGGTGTCCTTGGTTTCTCCTTCAACAGGTTTATCTGCAGACGGTATGCCGTTCTGAGATACAGCTAGACACAGTGTATTCCTTTTCATCTGGAAGTAAAATATTAGCTTATTTAAGCAGGCACAGAGCTGGGAGTACCTGTTTGACTTGTTGATTCATTAAATGTTCATTGATTCACCACAAGCAACATAATATGGTGGGAAAACCAAAAATGAGTAAGAAGCAATTCATCAGAGAAATATATGTAAATGCCTGAGTATACTACGAAGTGGGATGAGATGTTTTAAAATAGAGCCAAATGCTATAGGAACACGGAGCCAAGAAAGTAATTTCAGCTGAGGAGGAATGGAAGGAGCCGATGTTTCGCCATCACACTGGTCATCTGCTGTCATTTTGAAAAATGCGCAGGGTTGGGGGGATGTAAACATCCTTTTCCACAGTGCCAAGACTGGAGAGGGGGCTGCAATGCAGATAGAACATTCATACTGAGGGGTTCCACATTGGTAGTGTTCCTTTTTTTAATTGCCTAGCCTCAGAACAACCAAAGGCTCCGCTTTTATAAGGTACCCCTGTGCTTGGAAGAAATGGCACACACTTTGTTCAGAACTGATTAATATGACAGCATTACAGGGTGCTGGTCCTGTCCGTGTGAGATAAACTAGCTGAAAGAGCAGGTGTCAACTGCACAGCAGTAGCTGACCTCATCATGCTGGATTCACGATGTTTCCTTCACCAAGTGGGATCCTCAGGCTCGCCCAGGAAGAGCTCCTTCACCTCGAGTAACTCTCCACAGAAACTTAACTGGAGAGGACCCTCATTTTCAGGGCGTATGGAATCAATGCAAAGTACAGATGTGACCTCTGTCGCCCACGGGAAAAAGAGCAAGCAGAGCAGCTAATACCAACTAAGCACTAAAACTAAGTGCCACATGTCTGACCTCATCATCCCGCTCATTTCCCTAATGTCTCTGTGAGTCGGGGAATGTTATCTCCCTTTTTATACTAGTGGGCTTAGGCTCACAGAAGGTAAATAATCTGCTTGGGTCCCATGGCTCAGATACGGATTGGGATATCTATGTCCCTACTGTCTCTCTAGGTTTGGGTAAAAATATAGATTTGAAACTTAGATCCTCATCAAGAGAGACTGATAGCATTGTAAGCCTCATGCCTGGTATCTAAAACCACGTTATCTGATTCTCAAGGAAATGCTACACCACAAACACTTGTTACAGGATTCAAACACAAACTGACTGTAATCCAACAACAGCCAAGTGGCTCACCTGAGACAGTGATACCTGAGAGTCTGTAATGGACATGGTCCCTGTTCACTTCTTTGGAATGCTTTGGCTCTCTCATTGTATCAAGTTACATAAGCAAAACACAAAAGAATACAGGTCCTGCAATCTCCATTTCTCAAAAACATACCCCATGAAATGGTTAAAAAAAATCTAAATTTTCTGCCTTTACAAAGGGCCTTTACACTACCAATTTGTGAAACCACCCTTAAAGATGTTCACTGTTGCTCACTGTCCTTTGGGAAGACTCATGTCATTAATTCTATTTCAGGCTTATTCCACAGAAAATGCTGTTTCTGTAAATGAATTTTTAAATACTTTTTTTTGTGACATAGTTTTCATTTTTCTCTGTCCAGGACACGCTGACCCAGCCTTAGCACTCAAACGCAGGTGCTCTGTTAACTGGTCCAGTGGCCTCTCTCCTTCCTTCTGTCTGTTTCACATTGCATCATAACAAAACAGGTAAACCACCCATGTTCCCCTGTAGACATAAGGGCCGTCATACTAAACAGAGCTGAAGTCCAAGGTGGCCAGGACACCCAATGCCTGAAGCCACTGGTCTCCCTGTCTACCTCTTCTCGAAGACAGTGTGACGTGGCCACTGACGCACTGATGAGATGGGCAAGAACATTCCCTGTTGTCAGCTCTGCACCAGGAGACACAAAAGCTTCTCCAATGGCCAGGCACGTAGGCTCACTTTGGGAAGCTGAGGCGGGTGGATCACCTGAGGTCAGGAGTTCAAGTCCAGCCTGGCTAACATGGTGAAACCCCGTCTCTACTAAAAATACAAAAATTAGCCGGGTGTGGTGGCGTGTGTCTATAATCCCAGCTACTTGGGAGGCGGAGGCTGAAACCTGAGAATTGCTTGAACCCTGGAGGCAGAAGTTGCAGTGAGCTGAGATCCTACCACTGCACTCCAGCTTAGGTGACAAGAGTGAAACTCAGTCTCAAGAAAATAAACCAAAACCTTCTCCATCAAGTTTTGTATCAACAGTACACAGACACAAACATTTTTTGAAGGAAATAACACATTCCACATTTGCAAGGATGCAAGGACATTAGCAAGAAGTAGGCCACATAATCATATCTACCGCAACCAGCAACCAGCCATCTCTGTGGCTCAGGACTATGCAGAGAGATAAAGATGGGGAAGTGACTCAACAGGACAAACAGCAGAGGTGAAAAGTCCAGGGTGTTCCACCCGCCAGTGGCGAGTGAGACTCTCTACACACCCCCCGCACACATGCACAGCATCTGCGAAACGCGCCTTTCAGCTTCTTCCTAAAAAATTTTTATTTGGTCGCCCAAAAGGTTAGAGTGACTAAGAAATTTCCATTTGGTCACCCAAAAGATTAAAGTGACTAAGAAAACCCAACTTAGGCTGATTTATTCCCTAAAGCAGCAATGACTGACGCACCCAAAACTTCTCATTCCCCTGCCTCCCGGGGTTCTGGCAAGGCAAATCTTTATTCAGCAAATGAGAAGAGCCAGTTCCATACTTACATGTCGCTGCCTGGGTTGGGTTTGACAGAGTCCTCAGCTGGCAGGCAACATTCCATGATCTCATTAAAGCCTGCATTCCCAATATTCTTGGCGAGCTGCAAAAATGAAAGTCTATTTCAGGATACTCAATTATTAATACATTCTACTGCTACACATTACCCATTCTCATCAGATGATTTGTTTAATGGCCACTAAGAAATAGAGCAATAAAGTGGTTTGCCTTTAATGAAGATGGACAAAACCGAAAGCCCAAAGGTATCCATAAAATTAAAGATAAGAAGCGACATGCCTATTACTGAGGCGCACTGTCGTAAAACGCGCTCTGGATAGAGTACAGATAGAGACAGGGAGAACCAGTTTCTTGGTCCAACGTGAATTTCATCCTTACCCCTTCCTCCCAAAGACCTGTGCCTCAACCAAAACGAATCTATATTGTATACTCAATGTTTACTTATGTCAGCTATGCGGTGGTTCTGGGGCAGAAAAGCCAAGACTAAGGTTCAAATCACAGCTCCATTACCGGTTGTGTGACCATAGGCAAGTCAGTTTCCCTGAGCAGCACAGTTTTCATCAGCAAAATGGGATGGTGCCAATCTCCGGGTTGTAATAATGATAAAAATAATAAAATTTAGGTGAAAACAGTATAAACTAAAACACTAAAAATGTATTAGCTTCAGATGTAAGGTCTTTTTTTTCCAATCAACCTTCTGACATGTTAAACATTAAATTAACACATTCTTTTTTTTTGAGACAGGATCTTGCTCTCTTGTCCAGGCCAAAGTGCAGTGGCGCAATCATGGCTTACTGCAACCTTGACCTCCCCGGGCTCAGGTGATCCTCCTACCTCAGGTTCCCAAGCAGCTGGGACTACAGTTGGGTGTACCACCACACCCAACTGATTTTTGTAGAGATGGGGTTTTGCTCTGTTGCCCAGGCTGATCTTGAACTCCTGGGCTCAAGCAATCCGCCCACCTCAGCCTCCCAAAGTGCTGGGATTATAGGCGTTCGCCACCGTGCCCAGCCAGATCAGATTCTTAAACGTTTAGTGAAACAATACTAGAAGGGAGCACGAAGCTCAGTGCTTTGAGAAAACACATTTTCATTTCCATGTTGTGCTGGGGAGTCAGGGACGCTTGTGCTATTTCTGCTCTCTATTAATTATGCAGGCAAAGGGTTAACAGAGATGCTCTGGGAGAGGCTGCCGCGGCCTGAAATCAGGTCTATCTCCAGGGGGAACTGGCTGAAGGAGCAGCCCAACAGGTCTGGGTTAGAGACCCTGGAACTTCCTGGTGTCAAACAACATCAAACAGTGAAACGGGCTAGTGAAGGATGCAGACACAATTTTTTGTTGTTTAAACAAAAGAATTACGCAGGGTAGCCTAATAGAATTGGATGATGAGCTTTCCTAATTCAACCTGGCCCTTTACAAGTGGAAAAGCTTTCTGCGGCGGCCCAAAGCATCAAACATTAACCAACGCCACCTCCTTGCTCAGACCTGGCTCTGAGACCTCAAGCCATCAGTCAGGAGGCAAAAGCCCAGAGGCTGTGTTGCAATTTTCCCGGGGACAACAGAATGGTCAGGTGGCACACCACTTAAGTTGACAGGTACCTGTGCACCATGAAGCTAATGCCCCGTGAAGGACTTCTCAGGCAGCTGGTGTCAGATCCAGGACTGAATCTCAATGTTAAAGCCCCTGGCTTATAGCCAGGCATCATACAATCCAAGGAGGACACTGTTCCCAGCTGAGCAAAATGGTTTTCCCAAGTTGAGTGACAGAAATCACTGTGGCCCCCTCTATGAGCCAGGGGCCAACTACCCTGATGCTTCCTAATTTGTGTTAAGCAGATGGGGGACAGGGAGGTGGGAGGAGAATTCCCCAGGAATTGAAGAGCTATTTCCCTTCTGCTTGGACTTGGCTGGTTTACTGAGAGACAGCTGGTCCAGGAAGCCACCGCATCTATGTGTGTCACACTCATCCAATGCTAGATAAACGTGCTACCTTGAAGTTCTGCCAAGTTCCAGTTTACGTTTCAGCCCGTAGAGAACCCCGCTGGACCCATCAACAAAAGCAAAGCATTTGCAAATGGAGGCTTCAGAAGCCAGCAGAATGGCAGGGCAGAAGCCAAGGGGCAGGAAGATGGGTGTCGACCTGAGCCCTGGCATCTCCTGCTTCTCACTGGCACCCTGAAGGAATTTGTGGGCTGCACTGAGGCTGGATGGAGAAGAGGAAGGAGAGTTTAAGTTTCGTATCACCCAGGGCAGCTCAGCCCAGCCTCTTGCCCTTCCTGTGGCCTCAGGAACACACTCTGAGCCCCTTGTCTGTGCTGGGCATGGAGCATGAGGCACCCTCCTGCTCTACAGCAGCTCAGACTAACAAGGCAGCCATGAGTTAGTAAGAAGCCCTGGAAAAGAAGTTCATCCTGAGCACTAGGAGGACAGCGGGGCCAGGCCCAGATGAGCAGAGCAGTCCCTTGGCCAGTAGGCCACTTTCCTTGGCACTCACCATGCGGGGGAGTCATCATGTGTGGGTATCTCCCTCCCTAATGGTAGTGCTCAGGACAGGGACACAGAATCACACACCAGTACATCCTTAGCACTTACCTGAGCAGGGCCCACTGAGCCAAAATGAGGCTTTAGGTTTTATCTGGACATTGTTTTGAGAGTTTGGGGTGGGGCAGGGAAACCTCCTGTCCCATTTTCATGCCTCCACAGGGAGGGACAACAATTGCTGTGACATTCTTCTGTCTCTGACTCACCCCAGGAGAGGAACAGGCAAGTGAGAGAAACCAGACATCCCTGACTGCTGAGCTCAGGGGACCCCAAGGTCAGCTCCTCCATGATGTTAACTGGACCCCTTGGATCCCCAAAGGGTGGAGGGCCTGGAGAGTGCAGACCAGCCCTAAAGTACAAAGGGTAAAAAAAGGCCCAGGCAAGGGAAGCAGCTTGACCATATTGCTGCCTCCAAAGCAGAGAGGGCAAAAGGACACTCTCATGTGCAGGGAAGAAGTTTACATATGATGTCTTTATCTGAGCCTTTAAAAGTTATATTTTTGATGTTGTTTACAAAGTCTATATTTCTTAGAAAGTATAGGTATATCATACCTAAGTAGGTATATGCTTTGGTGCTCATTTTTTTGTGAGAGAGTTTGTGGTTTAAAAAATGTTCAGAATCCTGGCTTTAAAAAAAAAACAGCTAGAGCACAGGCTCTGGAATCTAACAGTTGGAAGTAAATCCTGCGCTGGGTAGGTCTCTTAACCTCTCTGGCGTCCTTTTAAAAATGGATCTCTCCATTTAGGTTAGATGATATAATGTACATAGAACACCTACAACAATGCCTGGAGCCTAACAGTTCCTCCATAAATGACCGTTGATAGTCAATTTCTTGTCCTAAGCAATTGGTTTTAGTATCTGGGTGGCGTATTTCAGTCCTAGGTGAACTTATAACAGCAGTTACAAGTCGTAAGTTCTTGGTCTTTTGAGGAGCTTTCCTCTCCATATGCTCTCTTTCAGACCAGCACGTGTGTTGACCCGCTTTAACATTTGCCAGCTTATTAACAACCTTATGAGAACAGAAATAGAGGAAAGTCAAGAAACAGAAAGCTGAGTCAGTGACTATTTGGAAGTTTCTTGATGCTTGTTTTTCAATATGACTTGTTTTGTTTTGAGACAGGGTCTCCCTTGGCCACTCAGGCTGGAGTGCAGTGGCACAATCTCAGTTCATTATAGCCAACCTCTTGGGCTCAGGTGATTCTCCCACCTTGGCCTCCTCAGTAGCGAGGACCACAGGCATGTACCACCATACTCAGCTAATTTTTGTTTTTGTTTTGTAGATAGGGAGTTTTGCCACGTGGCCCAGGTTGGTCTTGAACTCACGGGCTCAAGTGATCTGCCCACGTCAGCCCCACAAAGTGCTGGAGCTATAGGTGTTCCGCACTGCACTTGGTCTTGTAAGATTTTTTAAATTACTGACTCAATTCAATTTCAGAATATCAAGATTTCCTTTATTAACTTCATGTATGATAGTGAAACTGATCATGATAGTAGTATCCTAGTACCAAAGATACTGTTTTTCACATGACCTAAAAAAAAAAAAAACAAAGCTGAAATCATGATCTTCTACATTAAGAAGGAAATGTATCTTTTTAAAATCTGTGTTTACCAGAAAGTTTTTCTCAAAGTAGGTTTGCTTTAGAATCTAAAGATACTAAGGTGGTGTGTGCTAAAGTAGTTAAGACGACATGACTCCCAGAACTAATTAATACTTCAATTATGCAATTTCCATTCCACTGGATAAGAAGTTATGCTAGGCTGGGCACAGTGGTTCACATCTGTAATCCCAGCACTTTGGGAAGCTGAGGCCAGAGAATCACTTGAGCCCAAGAGTTCCAGATTAGCCTGGCCAATATAGTGAGAGCCTGTCTCTATGGAAACATTTTTAAAAATTAGCTGGGCATGGTGGCACATGCCTATAGTCCCAGCTACTCAGGAGGATTGCAGGAGCCTGGGAGGCAGAGGCTGCAGTGAACTGAGATGGCACCATTGCACTCCAGCCTGGGCAACAGAGCAAGAACCTGTCAAAAAAAAAGAAAGAGAGAAGACATGCAAATAACCAACAGGTATATGTGTGAAAAAGTACACATCATTAATCATACAAATCATCAAATAAGCCAGCAAAGAAAGACTGGGCACAGTGGTTCACTGTGATACTGCATGATCTTATTTATATGCAAAATCTAAAAAAGTTGAAATCATAGAAGTAGAGAGTAGAACTACAGTTACCAGGGGCTCGGGGGTGGGCATGCTGGTCAAAGCATACAAAATTTCAGTTAGAATGAACAAATTCTAGAGATCTAGTGTACAACATGGTGACTCTAGTTAATAATAATGTACTATATACTTAAATATTTTGTTTTTTGTTTTTGAGACCGTCTCACTCTGTTGCCCAGGCTGGAGTGCAGTGGCAAGATCACAGTTCACTGTAGCCTCAATTTCCTGGGTGCTCAGGTGATCCTCCTGCCTCAGCCTCCCAAGTAGCTGGGACCACAGGTGCTTGACACCACTCCCAGCTAATCTTTAAAAAATTATTTGTAGAGATGGGGGTCTCCCTATGTTGGTCAGGCTATTCTCGAACTCCCAGACTCAAGTGATCCTCTCACTTCAGCTTCCCAAAGTACTGAGATTACAGGCAATAGCCACCACACCAGGCTCAAGAGAGCAGATTTTAAAGTGTTGTCACCACAAAACATGATAAGCATGTGCGGTGACAGATGTGTTAACTAGCTTGATTTAATCACACATAATGTATACAATATGCTAAAACATGTTGTACACCAAAAATACATACAATGAAAAATAATTTAAAAAATAAAATCTTTTGCTGTCATAGCATGTCACCCTGAAACAAGGGCTGTCCTATTTACCCAAAAGATGAGAGATACTACTCCTGTGAGACAACTTGTCCAGGCTGTACCCACTACTCTCCTTTCATGAGGCACCAAGACGCCTCATGCACACTTGCTGTACGTACTTCAAAGAGCAAGTCAGCCAAGGCCCTGCATGGCATGCAACTCAGGGAAAGATTTGTAAGCAGAACAGAAACCAGCACAGACCGTGTGCAGCCTCCCTGTGGGTTCACATCTTAGCACATGGGGACCATTTTTCTGAAAGGATTTTGTTAAAAGAGATAACAATCATAGCTAATACTTCATGGTTCTCACTGTGTGTCAGACATAATTCTAAACACACACACACACATGCAGAGAAAGAGATAAAGAGGTAAAAAGGCTTCAGAAAATCCTTCATCCCAGCACCTGATTGTCTCAGCAAAATAAAACAATCTGGGTACTTTTAAAAGGCTTGAGGCCAGGCACAGTGGTTCACACCTGTAATCCCAGCACTTTGGGAGGCTAAGACAGGAGGATCGCTTGAGTTCAGGAGGTCAAGACCAGCCTGGACGTGGCGAAAGCCTGTCTCTATCAAAAACACAAAACTTAGCCAGGTGTGATTTACACTTGCCTGTAGTCCCAGGTACTGAGGAGGCTGAGGTGGGAGGATTGCCTGAACCCAGGAGGCAGAGGTTGCAGTGAGCTAATATTATGACACTGGACTCCAGCCTGGGTGACCTAGTCTCCAAAAAAAAAAAAAATCCTTGAAATTTCCAAGCTTTGCCAATGAATACTAACACCTGATATCCCATATACTGCTTAACTGAAGGGCTGAGGAATAAGGTTTACAGACACGACATCATGACCACATTCCTAGCACACAACAAATGGGACCAGGGGAGCCGTTGGGAAACTCCTGGCTCTTGTGAACCACAGAGGACCAGCCAGAGCCGGGGAAAGCAGGGTTGAAGGGAGTAAATCCACACAAGTCACTGCTGTCTCTCCTTTTCCTGATAACCCCTGAGAAAAAAGGGCTTGGGTAAGGGACAGTTTAAAACTCTGGCAGCAATTAGCTTTTGAACATATCTGCAGACATTGAGCAGGCTCTGGCTGATTTCTCATTGTGGTTGATAGCCAAGCACACTTCAAACTCCTATGAGAATGCAGATGGAGGCTCTGGGAGACAGAAATGGAGAATTTAACCAGGCATTAGAAATCACCTCAACGTCTCATCAAGAAAGAACAACATATTCCTTTTACCTTTCTTTGGCGTTTTCTTCCTCAGTAGGCGATTTAGTCTCATGAAGAACATTAAATTTCTGAGACACATTTAAGAAATTATACAGATGGTGGGGTCAGGCTCCTACCAGCTCATAAGAGCCAACTGTTAAAATATCAGGAATTTTGCAAGCCAACTGTTAAACACTGCTATTATTAAAAACTATACTACATAAACTCATAGTTAAGCTATATTAATAACTAAGGTATATACTCAAAACTCATCACTCCCTAATTATATTACATTTTACTATTATCCACATTCATGAAGTTATTTACATCCCCTCTATTTGCATGGTGAATGTGCTATGTAATAAACATCTTTTTCCAACTTCACATTCAGTAGTTCACATGAGCAGCCTGAAATTGGCCATGATTGGAGTATTTACACCACGAGAACAGGAAGGTTGCAAATCAGGTTCTTTTTTCTCCAGAGTTGACTACTAAACATTTGTTGGGGATGGTGATAGGGATAGCAGAGATGTTTAAATGTGTATCATATGGCAAGACAACCCACTAAGATGCCAATTTGTGTCCCAGGCTCCTCAAAGGTTTAAGTGTGAGGTCTGGAATCAGATTAAAGGGGCCCTCACCCCAGATCTGTCATCTTAAAAGCTTCATAACCCTAGGCATACTGAAACATTCTAAGCCTCAGTTTCCTCCTCTGTAAAGGACGGATAATATACCAAGATCGTCAGGTTGTTATTGGAGATTAAATGAGCCTCGTACATATAAAGTCATCTGCAAAATGCCTAGTACAAAATAAGCAATTTTTACTTTATCATAAATCACTTAACGCTTCTGATTGTTTTAAGAAAATCAGTAAAAGAAACAACTTCCATAGTTCACCAGTGTTTACTGAAAGGTACTTTGTGTTTCTGTGAAAATATACTATGGAAATCTCCAATCTATGCCATCATCAGTTATCCGAGAGATACCACATGTATACCTCTCTAAGATGTAGGTTATATGCATTATTACATGAACAGTAACTACTGTATGTTAATAACCAGGAAGGCACTGCTTGGAGTTCCTTAGTTTTAAACTTTAAATGAATCTATCTTAGTTTTAAACTTCTAGTAACTAAGCATGTTACTAACTAGGCTGCCAGGATCCACTGTAGTTTCTCCCAACTCTGTCTTTCAAGACCATAAAGGAATTCCTGGAAGGACTGCAAGTGTTTGACAAGAGAGTTCAAAACGCATTTGAAGTTCAGACACACTGGATTTGAAGTCATGAAGATTGATGTCCCCGAGAGGAACATGGTCCACAACTACTGATTTTCCGTCAAGACTACTGCGCTTGACATTAAATCCCCTACGTGTAACTTTCAAATTCAACATTAAAATCAATGGCAATCAATATCTACTTACTGTTTACTGTCAACACCCAGTTGTCCCAGGAGATAGTTTCAAGTACTGCTTTCTAGGGAAGGCAGTCCATGAAAGCTCATGTCTTAGGTGGCTGGAGTATAACCTGTCTGATGGACCTTGTGGGACCAGAGTCTTGATACTCTGAAAGCCACTTCACAGAAAATACTTCAGTCTCCCCCATCTCTATCACATGGCTTAGATCTTATCATTGAACCAGGAATGAAGAAACAAAGACGGTAAAAATGAAGACCAGTATCTCCCCACAAGGGGGACAATTTAGGGAAAAGTCCACTGGAGGCTTGAGGCAAGTTGTCACCACAGCCTTGTCAGAGATCAGCTGGTGATGAGGGAAAATAAGTACTTTCCTGTCTTTAGACGTTGGATTCCACATCTGTCTAATGGATGGGGTAAACTGGCCTATGTCACCATCTTACTTCATTTCTGCAGAATCTCACACCACTCTCAATGCTCCTTTTTGGTTTCACTTCCCTCTATTCATTTACGAATAAGGTTTTGCAACAAGAAGTGCCCTCAACCACCAGTAGCTAAAAATGAGGAATTATCATTGATTTTCTAATTATCCAAACCCATCTCAACAACCATTAGAAAATGGATTAGAATGCCAAAAGTAAAACTTAGCTTACAGCTCATTTGTTTCCAATCTGAAATCAAGGGTTTAAAAATTACCAGCAGCTCAGATGTTCCCAGTACATCTAAGGTCAGGGACTGCATCCTGGAATAATGAACCCCCAGCTCTCGGTGGATTCCGGAACACTCAATGCAGGTCAGGATGCCCAGGTTGGTGGAAAGCCACGTAGGATCTGCCAAAGAGAACAGGGCGGATTTCAGCTTCCAGTAAAAAAGAGGGTCAGGAGTCACAGCTTTCTTTCTGCATAGCTACTGAACAAGGAGTTCTGAGCATAAGCATTTTCTGATCCTTAACACAGCTGGAACCTCCGTCCATAATTACCACCAATATATGCAATACCCATATATGCACACATCTGCGTTCCCTCTTCTTCCCTCTCTCTCCATCTCCCCATCCATCATGTGACAGGTGCTGTGTGTGCAAAAAACAATAGGACACACTTCAGTGACCAAGGGCTCCTCAGTGGCTGCTCCTGAAAACAGACCATGCCATCACCAACCTGATCACACTAGCAGAATTGAGCAAGAGGAAAGCAAGGAGACCAGTCAAAGTCTAGTAGTAAAAGGGGATAGGTTTAAAACATACACATGTATAGATGCTGATAATAAGAGAGCACATACTATGTGCATAGGATACACTGTATTTAGCACGCTGGTAGCAGCAACAATAGTTTGCGTTGTGAGAGCTTCAGAAATCACAGAGCACTTTTGTATCAAATCTGAGAGCCCGATGAGATGACCAGGGCGGGGATTCTTATCTCACTCTACAGCAGACACACCTGTGTGATGCTCAGGCTCAAGGTTGCCAGGGAGTGCAGAGCAGACGGTGGCCTTACCTCTACGTGGGTTCAAAGCCATGCTTTCCCCCCAACAGCTTGGCTACTAACATCCCTTACCATATGTTTGCACATGATAGGGGCCCACAAAATGCTTGACAGATGAATGTGGAATCTGCTAAAAAAAAATTTTTTTTTAATGGATCCAAGGCCAAATACAGTCTTCAGGGTCATGGGAATCTAAGGGTACATTTCACAACTGTCCACTCTATTTTGGTTGTGTTTAGTTTTTTTGAGAAAAATTGTCATAGAATTGGAGGAATGAAAAGGGGATTGATCATTCTAGCCAAGCCTCCATCTTTTTCATTTTACAAATGTTCAGAAAATGCACCTGTGTAGTCCCCCGACCCCTACCTCCCATCATTCTGTCTCAATTAAAATAAGTAAATTCCTTAAACCACATCATACTATAAAGCCCCTAATTAATGCTTTATCAAAATGTAAAACTAAAATCTCATTTAACACAATGTGTCAACTAGAAGGGACCTGTCCCTTCACTTTTCAGACAGGAAAATCAATGTTGAACAAAGCAAGTGGCTCCCCCAGGATTATGGAGCCAGAGAGCGGCTTAAAGCTACTTCAGAGGTTCTGCAAAGTAGGATAAAGGGAGAAGAGAGCAGATTCCAAGCCAGGAAGCCCATACACATGCAGCCTGTCAGCCTATATGATGGCCACATGACCTTGAGTTCACCCTCACTGTACCCTTCAGTTTTCATTTCTCAAAAAGCATTTCAATCTTTTCAGCGCTGTCAGACCCTCTTTACTCAGTCCTGCTCTGGAGCCAGGCAGGCAAACATCTTTCCAACCCTCTCCCCTGCTGCGGTCTGCACAGTTCATTAAGCATTTGTGTAATGGGATGAACTCAGGCTGAGCTACACTTAATTTCATGTTTGAAATGAAAGTGAAAATCAATGAATGGATTCTGTGAATCAGAATGGGATTTAAATGTCCTAGAGCCCAGGGTCGGTGGGGTCCCTGGGTCACCTGGCGCCCCACAGTCACAGCAAACGTCATTGCCGGTCATCCTCTGCACTTCTGAGATGATCTCCTTTGTCAGTTCCTGGACGATGTTATTTTCTCCAGTGTTGTCATCCCCCTTAAATGCATTGTTTAAAGCTTCTTCTTTGCTATTCTGTAGCACAGACATCCAACTAGAAAAACAAGCGCGACATTGGGTTAAATCCCACAACGGGTAAGTCCAGCCCAAACTCCCACCACCATGTAACTTACATTTGACATTCCTGTTCGTCTTCAGCTTGAAAGTGGTAAGTTCTGTCATCTGCATAGCAAGAGGAATTTCAACTGTGAGCCCAGACAGCAATCCATACAAAATTCCAAAAGAAAGTGGTTTCTAATTAGCCTATGGAATAATCTTAGCTCTCTGCTAGGACATTATGATTTGTATAAAACCAGGCACTCCCTCATATCCCTCCAAATGTCTGCCTTCACTAACGGGGCATTGTAATGCAAAATAAACCTGCCCCTTTCCTTCATTCAAGTTTAAAAAGATGCCTGCTTCTAAAAACTGAAGCTATTCAACGAAAACCATCACTATCCTCTCAATAGCTTCATTTTAACTCACTACAGAGTTGGCCCCCAAAAAGTAATTGTTAAAGCCCTTTGAATAATAAAAGCCTTTAAAAAAAAAGAGTATCTTAGAAGTTTTCTGGCTTTCTTAGAAAAAGATTAGTATGAGAAATTCTAAGAGTATGTTTTGAGAATCAAGTACTACAAATATGGCAAAATCAAGAGAGGAATGTTAAATAATGGTCGAATGTAAAATCCTACACTCACATACTGCTGGCGTCAGCAACGTTTTGCAAGTATTTTGCCAGGCTGTGGACCTGTGTGTGTGTGCAGCGGGGAGACGGCTTTGTGGGATGTGGCAGCGTTGCATCTCGCCAAAAACACATCACCTCAATCCAATCATGAGAAAACACTAGAGAAATCCAAATTAAGGGAGTCTGACCAAAAAAACAGGTCAATACTCTTTAAGAAGGCTTCATGAAAAATAATCGAAGACTACAGAACTGATACAGATTGCAAGAGACCAGGATAAGAATCACAATTAAATGTAATGTGGGGTCCTGGATGGAATTCTGGAGCAGAAAAAGGACATTTGTGGGAAAACTGGTAAAATCTGAGTATGATTTTTAGTTAACAGCATCAAACCAATGTTTCCTGTTTTCGATAGCTACATAAATATGGTTGGATAACATGTACCATGGACTATTGGGTAACTGTATTAAGATGTTAACAGAACGAAGGCTGGGGGAGGGGTATATGGCTATTCTCTGTCTGAAGCAGTCTAAAGCCAAAGCAAAAAATATAATTAGATTTAATAAAGAAAAAGGGGAGAGGGGAATCCAGCTTTTGCAGATGGCAGAAGGGTGACAAGCACCAATTCTGTTCTTAGGGAAACAACGAACATCTGTGCTCCTAAAAGTGAGTGGACACACCACCTCTCAGTAGTGGTGTTTACTCCTGAAAGCACGTTGGTTCTTAGAACAACTCTTGGTGAGTGACTGGGCGATGGGTTAACGTCTAGAGAGGCTAAGCTGTGAAAACAGGCATAGCCAGTAGCAGAGCTCGGTTCCTGGACTTCTGGCCCAACCACTTTCCACAACACCATGGCATCTTTTTTTTTGAGACAGAGTCTTACTCTGTCACCCAGGCCGGAGTGCAGTGGTGCAACTGTGCAGTGCAAGGCCTGCTGCAGCCTCAATCTCCCAGGCTCACGTGATCTTCCCACCTCATCCTCCCAAAGTGCTGAGATTACAGGAGTGGGCACCTGGCCAATTTCTGCATTCTCATGTGTAAAAACTGCAGAAGCAGGAGGCAAATCTGAGAAAAACTCCCAAGCAAGGATCCCCTCTATTACAGACTCTTTGAAGAAGCTACAAACAAGCAGATGGCTTCCAGCAGCTTCAGCTGTGAGGGAGAAGTGCAGGAGATGGAGGGATGACTGGAGCACTAGGTGCTGCTGGCCAGCGAAGCGCAGCTTCCAGCCGGAGCTCTGGCTCTACTGGCCACTAACCCGCAGTGGGGACCTAGAAGGTCACTGACTCCCTCTGTTTCCATCCTCCTCAGGGGACTCACTTGGGTTACCTCACAATTCTCCTGTTCCTTCCATCCCGCCCAGGATGCCTGTGGGGTTTGCAGATAATAGATCAGGACTTGAATTTGTTATGAGTGGGGTCAGTCTGAGGGCAACAAATTGGATGAGTTCCCAGGAGGGCTGACCTTGCCACAGAACTGTCCTCCTAGAAGAGCCCATGCCCATTTACATCTTTCTCTTTTTTTTAAGGAGATAGGGTCCCCCTCTGTCACCCAGGCTGGAGTGCCATGGCACGATCACAGCTCACTGCAACCTCAAACTCCTGGGCTCAAGTGATCCCCCCACCTCAGCCTCCCAAGTAGCTGGGACTACAGGTGTGAGCCACCGCCCCGGCCCCATTTCCACCTTCATGAGAATGGGAAGCCCTGTTTAAGGGCAAGGATGGTAAAGGAGCATCTTGCAGAAAGTAACTGCAACCAGTCAGTCAGTCTATTGCTCGTCTGAATTTCCTGGGAAGATTCCAAGATGAACTGACCACATGAGGATGAGGAGGAATGGGTGACGATGGGGTGTCTGCAGACCCACACAGAAAACATCACCCTCACGGCCTCAGTGCATGTGCTTCTACTTGACTTCCCCAACTGCCCAAATGTCTTTTTTTTGAGACGGAGTCTTGCTGTGGTGTCCAAGCTGGAGTGCAATTGCACAATCACAACTCACTGTAACCTCAACCTCCTGGGCTCAAGCAATCCTCCCATCTTAGCCCCACAAGAAGTTGGGACCAAAGGCACAAACCACCATATTCAGCTATTTTTAAATTTTTTGTAGGAGGTCTTTCTGCGTTGCCCAGTCTGGTCTCAAATTCCTGGCATCAAGCAATCCTCCCACCTCGGCCTCGCAAAGTGCTTGCATTACAGTGGTAGGCCACTGCTTGGCCTACCCAAATATCTTGGAAGCTCAAAAGCATGTTGGTGATGCTCATCCCATGAGGCTGGTCAGGAAGTAGAGGAGGAATCGGAGAGGGATGAAGACAGACAGACGTTCCTGAGTCAGCCAGAACCAGGCCCTGACCTCATGTCCCTCACCTTGTCAGGATGTTCATCAAATCACAGCTTACAGTGCAGCCAGAGGTTTCTTGTGATGACTCTGGGGTGTGTGGCCAGTTTTCAACCCAAACCTACATAGCCCTGCACAAAGCATTTTCACTACAGATACGCACAGGGAGGGTACGCTTTGGAAGCTTGCTGAGGATGAAGCATTTGTAGGACTGGAATTTATTTTACCCACTGGAGGACAAGAAGGGAAGGAAGAGGGATGAGAGCTCTTTTCAAAGATGACAATGGACTCTAGCAAACTCATGACACTGCCCATAACTGGGCTCAGCAAGCCTTTCTGGTCATCACAGGCTAAAAGCCCTCTCTGAAGATGTTTCTTACGCATCAGGCTGCAGCAAAGACACTGGCAGGATCTTGGTCAATGTCAGTCAGCCACAGTGCTTGTGTGTGTCCAGATTCACAGAGGACCGAGATCCCACATGCATAAGGGCTGTAGTAATTCATGCCCAGAAGGAAGGTATGCACACTTGCCATCTACTGATCCTCCCTGGTGCCTGCTGCGTTGTGAAAAGGTGTAGGCTGGGAATACGTTGGAGCAAGTGCTTCTGCACCTATGGCATCTAGTGAGGCCTCCCTGCAGGGCGTGCTGGAGGGGCCTAGGTCCGCTGAGGGAAGAAGTCCCTGCACCCACCTCCATGTGATCAGTTCACTATTACATGGTTATGAGTTAATGAAGGGTACTTTAACACATGGCATCTTGTGTGTTACTAGTGCAGAAAATGGAAAGGTCTAAAACCCTCCGAGTCAGCCCCAGCCACTGGCAGATATCAGATTACACCATCAGGTTTTCTCCCTTTAATTCAAGCCTTTGTTGCTAGCTAGAGGCAGGTAACCCAGCAGTGATCACACTGTGTGTGTGTGTGTGTGTGTGTGTGTGTGTGTGTGTGTGTGTGTG